TATAAACGAAGTTAACAAACACATGCCAAAGAGTTCGCCTTACTGAAATGCAATGGGCATAATCCGCAGAAAGTTGAGAAAACCAAAATATAGTTACATTGAATATCTTGAGATTCTCTTAGTCATACAAAAAGGTGTACACGAATGAATGAAAGCTAATGGAGAAAGACTGGCACATTGGCTTCTTCAACGGATTACTGCTGGCTGCTTTTCAATTTCAACTATACTTTTAGCAAATGTTGTTTCCACTTTGATCCATGGTATGGAGGGTACTATGGACTATATCTTCAACTTTCCTGCCAGCTTATGCTGCAGCGCCTGCCATGCCATTTGTGCAGCACTAAACAAACCATGCAAGCAAGCATCTTATATCAACAAATGGAACAAAAGTTCAAAACACTATGACATACGCAGTCCACTCCCTCACCTTTTACCTCTCCTTTTTTTTTTGCCTCTCTGTCCTGCATCCACACACACTCCAATCTGTCAATATATTGCCTCTCCTTACTGTCTCCTAACATCACCGGTTCAGTCGATCAATCATTGAACAACCCCAAACAAGCAACAGCCAAAGACCAGAAGCCAACAATTAACACACCATCAACAGGAACACACACAACAGGAACACACACACACACACACACACACACACACACACACACACACACACACACACACACACACACACACAGTCCGACGAAACAGTCTGTTCTGCACAGTCATGCTTTTTTTGAGCGTATAGAGAATATCACACACACACACACACACACACACACACACACACACACACACACACACACATATGCACATGCACCCGCTTAAGAAAGAAAGAAAGAAAACAACTGTGAAAAGAAGGTCACTTATTTTTACCTTACACATTCATTAAGACTTTCAATGACGATAAAGGAGTTTTCACACCAATGAGGATGGAAACATTCTCAGAGAGAGTTCAATGACGATAAAGGAGTTTTCACACCAATGAGGATGGAAACATTCTCAGAGAGAGCTCCGCTACCTCCACCATCTCCACCACCTCCTTCATGGAACCAACACATCTACGGCTTCAAGTCAGTCCTCCTTGAAAGACAGCAAACCAACTCACAAAGCGCAAGGATTGCATCCCCAGTTGATCTCAACGTGCCATTGGTCTGCCACAACACCAGTTCCTCCCTACTGCGACACCAAACAATTATCAGTTTTCCACCCCTGCTGATGCCAACAACAGAGTTGAGCATTTGTGACGACAGGACGAAAAGCAACAACACGTTGTTACGGTCAGGTTTGAGCTCTTGCCGCAAAAGACACTCGAAAAGAGGGAATGGATGCATCTTGTTGATGCAGAGCGTGTCACAGCTCTCTTCGGCCCACTAAACACGTGGACAAAATCATCTGTGTGACCGATCTACACACCTGCGCGAAAAAGCAAATCCTCATGAGCTATTTTCCACGAAAGAGGAAGGAATTCACAAAACAGGGGCAAGGAGCCATCACCAATGCCCCCTTCTCATATCAATGGCTCTCTCTCTCTCTCTCTCTCTCTCTCTCTCTCTCTCTCTCTCTCTCTCTCTCTCTCTCTCTCTCTCTCTCTCTCCCTCCCATATCAACGGTATCTGTGTGTGTGTGTGTGTGCGTGGTCTGCACACGTTTCATAAAATGCCTTGGTCTTTGTGATACCTTTTGGATATCATATCGAGCTTGGCAACGTGTGTGGGCACTTCACACTCTCTCTACGCCCCCGACAGTCTCCCCCAACACCCCCCCCCCGATAGGTTGGCTCGTGTTTCGATTTTTCTTTTCCATTCATCCACCTCACAGCCTCCCTCTCATCTCCCTTCATTCCCCCCATCTCTCTTTCTGCCCCTCTATGATCTGCTGTTTGCTCGCTTACTTGCTTGCTCTGTGCGTGTGTTTATTCTACCCCCCCTGTTCTATCTCTTGTTCCATCGACGTGTCTCTGTGCGTGTACACTGTGTAGTACTGCGTACTTATTCCCAAACCCCTACCTCCTACCTCCATTTCGCCCAGCTTACACCCCTGCCTACCTCTTCACAATTTACTTTCGTGCAACGGCTTCCACAAGCCAGCCAGCACACACCCTCCTTACCACCTCCATCTACCTACTCCCTCTCTCCATTTTCTTTTCCTTTTTTTTTTTTTTTATATAAGAAAAAGCAACCTGGGTGAGTGCTAAGGGCGCTGATAAGAGCAGACGCCTCTAGCATGCTCGGGGAGGCTCCATCTATTGGCGGGGAGCAGCACCTGCTGGAAAACGGGTGACCTCGTCCGCTCCCTCAGAACTCTGTCTGTATTTCTTACCTCGCCCTTTGCGTCTCTGCATTCGTGCCCATACTCTCAGTGTCGCTAGTGGCGCCAGTACTACTCTGCAGTCATCACACTCGATAGATTCCCACTTGCCTCATCTCTCTCTTCCCTTCTTCCTCTCACCCCTCCTCCTCCCCCTGCTCTTCCGCTCACTTTCCCTCCTCCCCTTCTCACATATACCTGAAGCATAACGCACCATGGCTCTGCCCACAATCCCCAGCCAGGTCACAGCAAGCACACACGACAAGCTACTGTAATGATCAGCAGGGAAAATATTAACTCAGTCAGGCAAGTGTAATGATCAGAGGGAAAATATTAACCGAGTCAGGCCAGTGGTTTTCATCATCAGAGGATAAACAGCATTACCCAAGCAGTTCCAGCTATTCGGAATAGTTGGGACCGTCCCAACTATTCAGAATAGACGTTACAGTCGGGAAGAAGACGATGACCAGAAGTCAAGGGCGTATAAGACAAAAAAGAAAAGAAAAAAAGTGTGGCGGAACTCAGCACAGGCTCGGAAATCTCCGACCATATGGGAACCAAACAGTTGAAAGCATCAACATCGGAGAGCGCACATCCTCAACAACGAGTGAAAAAGAATGGAAACACTCCCTTTCCCCTCACAAGCCTTGGTAGCATATCACAGCCACACATAGAAAACCATAGCATAGCAGCGGAATAAAAACTCAAGCATAGGATACCATTCCATAGCCATGCAGTTGAATAGCCAAGCAGTTGAATAGCCATGCAGTTGAATAGCCAAGCAGTTGAATAGCCAAGCAGTAATACTGTGACAAGCGATAGCATGCCCAGATACTGAAGACACAAATTGGAATATGAAACAGTGAGCATACTAAGCAAACTACTTAGTGTATTAACTAAGCATACAGAGCTAAGCATACTAAGCATACAGAGCTAAGCATACAGAGCTAAGCATACTAAGCATACTACGCATACTAATCATAAAGAGCA